AATTGTAAAGCAAATGAAATCAGGAAAATTGTCATTTTTGTGCACTTCGCGAAGGACAAGAGCTCGTACACGCAGAAATTCTTTTCTCAATGCAATTTTCGCGTGGATGTGGTGGGTATATCGATGGTTCTCTGCATTAAAGACCCAACTCAAATTATAACAATTATTGCTTATTCTTTGCAATAAATCTACATAGATGTAAAATGTATAGTCAAGTTATGACTATTTTATTAATATTTAGTAGGGTTTAGACTTAAAAAGTTATTTCGTTTAAACAATGAATAACTATTATTAAATTATTAAACAAAAATATGTCCACTTATGTTATTGAACAACGATGCGATACGAAAAATTTCTTGATTTCCTATACAAGCATTCCTGACCTATCGACAGTTTTCGACCTATGACAATATTCACGATAAACACTAGAATCACCCGCAGCGATGCGGATGCGGCAGCAACTGAGACATATGCTACTGTTCAGTATTAGGGGTTGCCAACTTCGACTTCCCTGCCCGATTGGTAGCAGGTAAACATATGTCGGTGATCCGCAGAAAAATTAGGTTGTTTTCATCAATCAAATCCATCTATATAGATAACTTAATTGCATGAAATTTTGAGTTGTGTCGTTATTGTAGAGCATCGCCGATATGTATCCATGTATAAGTCACTTAACCCTAATCGGTTAATTTTTTTTTAGGATGAGAAAAAAAGTTGTGAGTTAATTTGAGGCTTTCGGCTAGTTACTGTTAGTAATTTTAAGATTTTAAAATCAAAAGAGAGAGAGAGAGAGAGAATGAAAATAATCTGCGCTCACTGCAGAATATGATCTCCTCATTTCCTTCCTGGCTTTTAATATTTGCTTCGTTTTCAAAGGTGAAATTCTTCGGAAATTATATTGAAGCAAAAATATATCGTCAGATTTTTTCAGGATAGATAATAAAATGGATGGTTCATGATATTTGGGTTTAGCGAACATTTTCAAGTTTTTAGCGAGATTTCTTTTTTCAAGACCGCTCAAAATCTTTTCTGTATTTTTCGGAATTCTTTACGCTTGACTTCTCAAGAACTTTTGCGTTTTTATTTAAGTGATCTCCAAACATTTTTTATATCTTTCGGGAACTTTCGAAACTCTTCGCGACTTGCTTCGAGTTTTGTTTTTAGAGGTTTCAGGATTTTTAATGGGACCTCAAGGGAAATTTTGTAATTTTTGGTGTTTTACTTTTTGGAATTTTCCTAGAGTAATCGACATTTTTTCTTGTTCTAAATCCTTACCAAATGTCTCATGCTCACGACCAAAAATGACTTTAAAATGCAATAATATTTTTGGGTGAGCTTTGTATGATTAAGGATAATTGTATGGCCCATTTTGCTCATGGAGCGTTTTGTTTTACAATCATTTCTCAAGTCCTTGCAATACATAATAGACTAGCACGAAGATCAGTTGTTAAAAGTTACCTTCTGTTCCAGAGGATATCAGGCAATTTTCGCTTTTATATATGCAGAAAGTAATTGATTTTTCTTGCTCAAAGTAATGAAAGTCAAAGGATAATTAAAGTTCTGATCTCATTACTAAAAAAGTGGATTTAATTGTTTTTTTCACACTTTTTGAACTTTTGACTAGATCTGAAGAAAATTAGTGCTTGAAATACTTTTCTGCCTCATCACTTAACTCTTAGCTATCTAAATCTTCATTGGTCATATACTTCTTTTAGTACACTCCTTTATTATTTCAAGTCATAGGATATTTAAATAGATAAAATTCACAGATGTGAATAAAGGAATATGATGTATAATGTAGACACGATCCCAGATGAATTTGTAAATTGTTTTGAAAATACGTAGGTACAAATCCAACACCAAATTTGCTATTCTTTATATGGTAGTTGCAGTGGTCATCGAAGATCCCATGCTTTCTCTGCCTTGCTCAGCCCATAGCATTACTTGGACGTTATCATGACTTTAGCCTTGACCTACCAGAGATAAAAACCGGCTCGACAGAGGCACCTTTCCCATCAACTGTTCGGGCCATAATTTTATAGTCCTGTATATATGTCGGTTCCCTTATCAGAAACGAGGCAATTTTTTAACTCTCAGAAGGCAACAATTTTCTCTCAGTAATACCGAATCCACACATTTCCCTGCGTGTCATAGAGATTTAAATTTTATATATAGATTTTCCTTCAGCATTGCATTTCGACAGATGCAACAACATTTGACTGCTGCCCGTCCATCTTCAAAAGCAAAGAATATGGCGAATATGACCGAAAGGAAGGATGCAGTAAGTGCAAGTTGCTTTCCTTTAGCATTTCTTTTGAAATTTACGAATATGTAAAATATACATACATACTGCTTCGGTAGTCATAAATCTTATTTTAACGTTTTCGTAATTGCATTTTATTATTATGGTGGATAAGTAATTTCGAAGGAAAAGTAGCGAAGCACAAGTTGACTTTTACAATACAGGCGCATTAGGAACGGTGCATTTTAAGGGCATCAACTGTGGCATGAAGTTTAAGACTTTTTATAGAGAATTAAAAAGGCTTATTTCGCACACGCCAAATTGTAGAAATTTTAAAACCGATTCTCCAAATCGAGTTCATGATTTACTTGAGAGTGCTATAACGCACACAAAGCCTGACTTTTAGTCCTTAAGGTATTCCCGCGCACATGCACGAATGTTGAGCAACTGACCATCCACGGAAGCTAACGTTTCACTGAAGATTGAAGGTTGTTCGCCATCGCTATTGCAACTTGCTAAATTTTTTTATAATTTTTTGATTTTTTTTTTAAATTTTGCACAATTGAAAGTCCTATATTTTCTTTTCAGCGAATGAATCATTTTATGTTTTTATAGCTAAATAATGTGTTTTTGATTTGGGAAACTAATATTTTTCAAAGTCCGTTGGCGGCATATGTGGAAATTCCAATATAAATACATATAAGGAAAAATCCGTATAACTAGCAGAAGATAAAATATTGCTTGAGGTTACTCATACGCCCTGCCGACGGACGCGAAACAATGGCCCTCTGCTATAACGAAGTATGTAAGTTTTTTTTACCAAGTCAGAACTGGATTTAACATCAGTTTTGTTTCTATTGTTACATCTGGTTCAAGAAATAAATTCTAAGTTATTCCATTTTTTTTAGGAAAATTCTAAGTGTGCAGTTTTATAGCCCATTCAATTTTAGTATAATAAAATACAAGCTTGAAGTTGCTTTTTAGAATTTTTTTGGAGGATGGTGTTATTATATTATTTTATATATGATTTTCTTCCATATAAAAAAAAAAGGTCGAATAGGAAGAACCTGAAAGAAATTTCCAAAAATCAACACGATTTTCTACCAACTTCAAACTTGCACTTTGCAAAACTGTATACTTATTTATAACTTTTTTTAAATCAGAATTGAACATTTAAAAACTTTTGAATTTTCCTGAGCATTGCACAAAATGTTAAGTTTTATTTTTATGTTTTTTTTTATTGTAGTATGAACTATATTTTTATAAAAAAATTATCAAAAAGAAATTAGAATAATAAAATTTGCATATATTGCGAAAAATCTGTGCCAATACTTTTGTTCGTCACTATATGTTGATATATTACAATAAAGTATTACTTCCACTTTCGCTGAAAGACGAATGTATGATCGAAGAATAAGTGGTTAGAGTTGTGTACTTCCACTCCGTAGTGCCTAGGCTCGATATCTGGTCCGAGTAACAGCTAAAATTATAAACAATTTTTCATAAGAGTGGTCGCCTTTTTTCAGGTAAAGCCAAACCTCCGAGTGTGTTACTGCGTTGAAAATAGCTTCCCATAAAATCCATCTGCCATTTGGAGCCGGCGAAAAACTGTAGGTTCGTTCAATTGCGTAATAACACCGAGACGCACGCCACAAATAAGTACTATTTATTATATTATATTTGGTGTTTTTAATATGAATCAGTTAATTGCTAAAGGGAATAAGTCAGCATTTTACCGATGTGAAGAATTTAATACAAATGAACGGATCTTCTATAAACGAACCGAACTGCATCAAAATTGTCATCTCGAAAAAATGCTGGCTTATTCCTTTTGGTAATTAGAATAAATACGAGGAATGTAAGATCCCAAGATCGCGGTCTTTCTTAGGTCCCAAAAATCACAGGATTCTTGGAAAATAATCCCGGTATTTTCGAAATTTGTAACTTTCACTGACGGCAATAATATAAACTCCCTTCTTGATCAGTATTGGCTATATTTCTTTTTTATTTAATAATTAATGTTTTTATAAATGTATATCTCACTATACATATAATACCGCGCGATAATAAATTCTACACTCAAAAATCAATATATTCACTCTGATATCAAGAATTCAAAAATGATTTGAAAAATTCAGTCAAATGTACTTAGAGAGGAAGAATGGGTATTAAATTAACGAAAAAATTCTGCAGAATTTAATCAGATTTAATTTTTTGGTGCATAAGGACTGGGAAGTATTCAAAATGTTCTTTTAAAATTTTATGCTTGAAATTTCGCAGTATTTGTTTTTGAAAAAATTTTATGTAACGGACTTGTATAAACTCGATATCATCCTGGAATTTTAGCGTTCTAACTTTATAAGCTTAAAAAATTACCTATTTGTCCTTGTGAATCCACACAAATTTTTTATTTTTTTAATTCTTAGGATTTTTACCGTTGCATTTGGTACCCATATTTTTATACTTCATTGCATAGAATTTTTTAAATAATTTTTGGAATTAATCATATCTTTGAAATCACAAAGTCCCTTAAAATAAATCCTGACGTTAGAGAGTTAAAATCAAAATGCCACTCTAAATACAAAGATAGGTTTCAAAAGTAATTTCTTCGATTCAAATTGTTGAAAAGTAGTGAATATTTAAATTCCGGGACTAACCCCGATATTCCGGGTTGTGATTACGACATCCCGAAAATCCTGCTATCGTAAAAGGCGAAAAAATTAACATCCCTAATATATACCTATGTGTATACATATGTTTCAATATATACATATGTATGGTAAGCGCATGTCACCTCTCTCATTAAATCATCACTACTTGAGTGTGGATTTAATTGCATAATAGCTAGCTTAGTCATATCATTTGATGAAGTCTAATCGAATTAGACGCCCCAATGCTTTCAATTCACATTATCATGCATACACCTAGCCATAAATACGTATCTATGTACATATATAGATGTCTATATCGTGAGTAGCGCGTATATGCTTACATATGTGATCTTAAATCTCATCAGAAGTACGCTTTAGAAAATAACTAAGCAGCTAGTGAAAAAACAGGAAGAAGGGAGTAAGGAATTAATTAAAAGTTTATTAAAAGCAGTTGGTTACTTTACGTTTATGCAAACATATATATATACATGCGCAAATGCATGTGGTTGTGTTGCCATGGTAATGTAGTATGTAGGTGACGAAAGAGATAACCTATCGAAAAATGAATCTAAAAGATACAATTACGCGCTCCTAAGCAGATGATTTGTGGTTGTAGTTTCGTAAAACTTATGGGGGTTTCTGCAAATACATACATACACATATGCATAAATGCTTATTTCGTAGCAGATGTGGGTGCGATGATACATACCTACATACATACGTATATCACTAACAACACACAAGCCACAGTGCGAGGGTGCTGAATGTGATTAATTTGTAATGTCTGAGTGTTACATGTTTCGTTGGAGCTAATGTTGTCACTTCAAAACTATTTAACACTAATTAATAGCAGATTCCACTAATTATGCGCTAATATTAATGTAATTTCAGCTTTGACACAGCTTGCATCCTTGCCCCAATGTACACAAATACCAGGACAACAAGTACACACATTAGCATGTATGAGTGCTCAATGGGAATAGATATCTGTTATATTTATGTATGTATATGAATATTCGTAGAATTGCGTTGTTCTTATATACGTATATATCTCTGGATACCAAGTTGCTTGTTAGTTCGATGAACAACAAGCTGCTTTGCATATATGTTTAGGTTGCTTTCCCAAACATTGAAACATTTTGTGTTTACTTGCCATTGTGTGTACCCGTACAGACTGCTGACATGTATGATTGCATTGCCTTTATGTTAGTTTCTATTAAATATATGCAGGTGTACAAATTGGAGAAAATTACTTTTTATTAGTGAATTTTGCACACCAAAAGCTGCTTTCGAATTAACAATGCACATACTAGTGCTGCTAAAGCAATTAAAAGCTTGAAAGAAATGGGTCACGAAGCTGCTAAACTAAAGGCTGAAGGCGTCGTCAAATGAACTTAAATGCTCTGCAGCTAAGACCTAGAACTTTGACTTTCAGTTCACAGATATTTTGGCTGCAACCTCGAAATGAGACTTAAAATTTTACAACCCAATTCAAATGATAATTCAATGAAATTTTACGCACGAATAGGTTAAGATCTGAATTAAAATAAATACAGCATACTTTTTGAAGAAAGTTGCCACTTTTTTTAAAGTTAAAATCCATTAATTAGTATGGGTGTCAGCAAAAATATATTCCAAAGCGATTTATTTCGAATTAATTATGAAGAGGTTTGCCACCTTTTCAAAAAGATAAATTCAATTTAATTGACACGTTAACTGAAATATTTTTTTGTTATTTTTTGGCCTAAGAACAATTTTTATTTATCAATTTTTTAGAGCTTAAGGCTGTTGTTAATGAAAATTTGTGTTGAAAAATAACAGTAATTTAAAATTTTTATATGGGTATCCAAAAGAGAGGTTACATAAGGAAAAATCAATTAAATTAACAAGTAAGATTAAAAATTGTGTGTGGGAAAAAATCAAAAGCCTTGAGAATGCTTAATGTGGCAAATATTTTTAAAAAGGATTGCCATCACTTTGGAAATTTATAACATATTTAATTTAAAGTTTAAGTTAAGAAATTATTGTAATACTTACGGGTGTCAAATGAGAGGGGATTCAGTAGGCTATATTTCTGAAATAATTCTGAAAGGGCTGTCATCTAGTTTGAAGGGCCAACATCAATTTGATGAACGAGTTAAATGAAATATTTTCTAAGGGTATCAAACGAGAGAGGGGTTAAAGAAGCTCTATTTCAGAAAAACTTTGGCGAAGGTTGCCATTGTGCGATAAATTTAAAATTGAAGCTTTTAAAAAAAATTTCTTTGTCAAAATATTTTTGAAGATGGTTGCAACCAGTTTAGATAATCTACCCCCTCTTAATTAACAAGTTAAAAGAAATGTTTGTAATTATATGAATAACAAACGATAGATCTTTAAGAGAGCTTCATTTGGAAAATTTTTTACGAAGGTTGCCATCTGTTTAGAATTGCAAAATCAATTTAATTAACAAGTTGAACGAAATATTTAAATGTGAGCTCAAGCGCGAAAGTAAGCATTACGTCGAAATATTTCGGAAGAGTGTTGACACCTTTTATGCAAGATTTATTTAATAAAATACTTCGAAAAAGAAAGGGTAAATTTTATAAAATATTTTCAAAGAGGATTTCCGCCAGTTAAATTTAATTAGAAAATAAATAAAAAATTAAAATACAGGTGTTAAAAGGAAGAAGTTGAAGAAAGCTTTTTCGGCAAAATATTTTTGAAAAAGGGTGCCACCTGTTTGAATCTGAGCCTGTATTATCAAACTAAAGTTTTCTTTAAACTCTTTCGTTTCACACTAATATTTCGATACTTCATTTAAATCTTGTATAAGTAAAACAAATTCGGTTTTTTTAAAAGTTGGCAACCCTATTTAAAAGTATTTTTCAACTAACATCTTTTTAGATCTTTTTCGTCTGGCATTGTGATACATATTTCAATTAAATGATCACTTATATTCAAATTGAGTTACTAATACGTGTCAGCTCTCCTAAATACGGTTCAGAAGTAAATTATTTTCAAACTCATTTCGATTGATGCCCCCCATTTTGACAATCCGTTTAACTCATTAAATAATTTGAATAAAATTTTTTTCAACAGGTGGCAACCTTTTTCAGGCAACGGTACAATGGCTTCTTTTACCCTGTAGTTGCAAATTTCTACCATGTTTTCAATTTTTCTAGAAGCAAAATCTGGATTTACATACGAAGACTACGTAAATGAGCTTATCAATGAAACAGAACAAAAACAAATAAAATGAGAGGGCCTCTGTTTAAATCAGCAAGAACCATATTAAAATATATTTAACGTTTAACAAATTAACAACATATTTAATTTTAAAAGAATACATTAACATGTACTTAAATAAATGAACTGCAATGGAACTTTGACTGCTTTGTTGTCGGTTGTATGACACCTACATATGTACATTGTGCGATAATGTCACTTTAATGTCACCAAAGACCATTGCATCTTGATACTGTCAGTTGAAAGTCACCAAGGTCTATTGCAGGAAAAAGTCATGCAGAGGACATCAACCACTAAAGCATCATTTCTATGAAACAGTCATGAACGACTTCTATATAAACGGAGCCCAAAGTCATTTAAGACGTAACATGGCCGTAAAAGATACTTAAGTGACTAATGTATGACATTCGCTACGGGGATGTTATACATATATATGTACGTGTGTAAGACCGGTAGGTTACCTATACAACTTTTAACACCTACTTTAATTTTTGCGTATTTACAAACGTGGACAAACACTTATTCCCCAAGCACCAAATTATTTCCTTCTTGCCCTACGTAAATAACCCAATCAAACATACGCAAATATTGGTAAATAAATCCGTCGCAGTTTACATACCTTGACAACTTGTTAATGGCTGTTTTCCTCATTAATACTGAATTAATTGAGATCACGAGCAAACCGAAGCCGACGCCGGTGGAGTTGGAGATGGCATTAAATGCATATCCGCGTATCCGCAGCGACAGTAATCAGAGACATCGGATGCAGCAAAGGCGATAATGTGTTGTAATTCCGGTAATACATTTTGAATGTAAAACGAAGGCAGCCACAAGACGAGATGAGCCAGACGTGACGAAACCAAGTAAAGCATTAAATTCATGAAAAAAGGGAATTGAAAGCAGACATACACGCGAAGTAAATCGGAAATTAATTACGAAATTTTATAATTGAAATTTATTTCATAAAAACAAATTTCTTCCGCTCACCACTTTATGTACATAGCTTTACACACATTACAACAATCACCGCTACTTACCAATATTCTCCAGCTGTCCTGGTGTACCCCAGCCACCCGCAGCTGCAATGCCCGCACCACCACCGAGGCCACCACTCCCAGCAGTCGAGGCTTGAGCTTGTGCAGCCGCTGAGCCAGGCGCTGGCGGCACATAGTCGCCGCCATCGATTACTACGCCATCAATGCTCGGTCCAAAGGCAAAACCGAATTCTGGCTGACGTATTGGTACGCCCAGCAGTTGCTCCAGCGTCTTATCCCGCAGACATTTCATGAGATGTGCATGCGGCAGGTCGGGCGCACAATTCACATGATGTGCAACAATGGCTGCATATTTGGCGGGATTGCTGACTAGTGACCAAGGCGCCAGCCCGGAGCCGGACATGAGTATGGCGCGATTGAAGAGCAAACCTGCGGAAAGTAAATTTATTACGTTGAATGCACATATTTGGTAATTGTTGCTATTATTCGCTTTGTACCTTCCGGCACCGCCAGCGATGAGATGAGAAAATGCACACACGCGGCACCCGTGCCATGACCGGCCAGTGTAATACTTTGCGGATCACCACCAAAGGCAGCGATGTTCTCCTTCAACCAGTGCAGCGCAGCAATAATGTCCATTAGGCCATAGTTGGCTGGCAGTTTTGAGTAACGATCTGTGTTTGCGTTTAGGAAACCTATGGTGAGAGAAAAAAAAATTGCTTAACACTTTTCTATTAGGTGTTTGAAATCAATTAGAAAAAGTCGAAAAATTCTTTGTAGAGTTATTCTCTTCTATGTATGTAGGTATCATATATTTCAAATATAAACCCAACGACTAAAAATAAGGTTGATTTTAAAACATACTTGAAAAAAGGCACCCATGCCCTGTGTCTCTAATCAGTTTTAAATTTATCAGACTTTTAAAATTTGAAATATCACAACTTTGTTTGAAAAATTTTCAGTTTTAAATTTTAGCAGTCCAATAAATTTTAAAATTGATTGGTGAAACCGGGCATCGGAATTATAAAATTAATTTTATATCTTTGAATGCTCTTGTACACTTTTTTAACTCATACGTACTGGCCAAACATGGTAAAACACGTTTTTAGTTTTTCTCTCTGACATTAGCATTTTGAAAGAGATGATTTGATTCAAAAAATTATTTAACCCTACGACTACTGGTGACTTGAAATGCGTTCAACCATACGTTGTGGTCTGACACATCGCAAGGTATTGTATACGTGGGACTAACAAAACAAAGTCTTTGGTGTTACAACGCTTACTAAATGAGGCGACTCCCTGCAAGCCGGGCACTGATTGGGCACATCTGCATTTATCCCACTCAGGTAGCAGTTTAGCCGGCTGCAGTAGCCAGAGCGTTAGGGCTATGGTGATGCAAGTCTCCCGAGGTAGATGGAGTTCTGTCTTGTCCAAATCCAGGTGGCTGTATTCCTTAAACGGCATTAACCCGTCGACCGTTGGTGTATACCGACTCCCTTCGAATGGCGTTTATGACCTGTCGCTAAGCTGTAGGGTTGCTTTATGAACCTCCGGACTTCGTCTGACGTGTCTAGGAGAGGGCTCTGCGGAAAGCAGGTGTCCGTTAGGGTTCCCGCGTTAGGGTTCGGCCGATTTGAGGAAGACGGGGCATATTGAGATACATTTTCTTGGAATTCTACTAAAGTAGATGGAGGATAAATGGCAAAAAAAAATTCATATTAGGTATTGAATTGGGTTTCTTTAGCTTGGTCTAACCACAACCAGGAAAAAAACACATATTGCACAAAAGCTGCTTTTTACACCGAAACAAAGCTAGCACTATCGTCCTATACTAAATATAATCGTATCCCTTGAAGGAACTTATTAAAGTCATGAGACAGTTTGCCAAAAAATGTTGAGGAACCCAAAAACTTTTAGTGAAATTTTTCAAAATGGTCTGTAAGACCACAAGGCTAGTCGTAGGGTTAAAAATGCAATTCATTATAGGATAACAATATGGACACGAAATGAAAGAGAAAATTCTGTAGAATTAAAAAAATAATTTTTTTTTTTTGGCTCACAAGGATGAATACGTATTGAATACGCCCTTTTAATTATGCCGATGACGATTGCAGGTTACATTGACATCATCGGTAATGAGAACCGCAGAGCCTCTATTGCTTTTTCCAAGTTAGATAAGGAAGCAAGCGACTGTGCCTTGTGGTCAAGGAGGAGTATCTCCTGTCATCAAACAAACCGTAGGCACATGCGTGTTGTGGCACTCACATCACTGTTGACAGTTATAATTTTGAGAAAGTAGAGAATTTCATTTGCTTGGGAACCAGCATTAACACCGACAATAATGTCAGCATCGAAATCCTACACAGAATCATTCTGGCCAACAAGTGATACTTTGGACTGAGTAGGTAATTAAGGAGTAAAGTCCTCTCTCGCCATACGAAAACCACGCTCTATAAGTCACTCATCGTGCCCGTGCTGGCATATGGCGCAGAAGCATGGACAATGACAACATCCGATGAGGCGGCTCTTGGAGTAATCGAGAGAAAGATTCTGCGAAAGGTTTACGGACCTTTATACGTTTTCGATGGCGAATAGCAGACGATGGAACGATGAGCTGTATGAGTATACAACGATGTGGACATAGTGCAGCGAATTAAAATACAGCGGCTCCGCTGGCTTGGCCATGTCGTTCGAATAGACACCGATGCTCCAGCTTTGAAAGTATGCAACTCGGAACCCGCTGGTGGTAGCAGAGGAAGAGGGAGGCCCCCACTGTTATGTAAAGGCCAAGTGGAGTCACGCCAATTGGCGTCAGTTGACACAGAAAAGAAACGACTGGCGTGCTTTGTTGAACTCGGTCAAAATCACTTAGGCGATTACGGAGCTAAAGCAGAAAAAGGATAATTCCCTAAATTCAAAAGGAATGTAATTTGTTAATAGGTGGCAACTGTTCAAACTATACCTTTATTATCTGCAGTGCAAACCCTTTAAATTTCCTACTCATTTTATGAAAACCGAACGAATGATGCAGATCTGATGCCATTACCAAGAAATGAGAAATAATTTAATGCAGCTGCCAAAAGCGCATTATTTCGCAAAGTGCAAAAAGGTAGCACATTTTTTCTTTTCTGTTCTTCAAAGGATAAAACACCATAGTTTTGATTATTTATAAAATAAAAAAACATGTTTTTACTTGATTTTTTTATTCACTTCTGTTGGTCTGACCAAAAAACGTGGTTTGTAGTGCGTCAACTTCAACGGCGGTTTTGCTGCGTATTATTCATTTTATACAAAAATTGGGATCTATCTTTTGTAACAAAACGAGACAAATATGGTCTGAATTTGTCCCAAAGCATGGAGAGAAATTGCTAAATTTATTTTAACATCAAATCGCACTTTTAAAGAAACATACATACATACAAACTTTTTTTTTTTATGTAGGAGTGTCTTTTTGCCTCTTTTTCCTTTAAGAGCTTTCCTTTTTTGATTAAATATACGGGTTTTTGGTGGGGGTGGAGAGCTCTCAGTAGCAATTTTGACACAGGTGGGTGGACTTATGTACCTCCTCAGTACCTCACAGCACAACTCATCTTGCAACGCAACACTTGCATAAAATCCTAGATCTCACTAACCGATCGTGATATTCGTTCATCGCTTAGTCGATAAACATATGAGAACAACATTTTTTATAACGGCACCAACACTTATGCAAAAGATAACCATAGGTCATTGCATCTTTCGAAGGAAAATATTTTGGGGATAATAGCGCACTTATCCGAGTAGATAATACACACATACATACACATATGTCCCGGAAGCACTGTGAGCCAATCGAGTTGGGTGAAAATATGGCCGCCGTGTCATAAATTAGAAGGAGATAAAATAGTTTTTCAAAAAAGTGCACGTCGATTCGTCGTAGGTTACATTTTCAGGGTTAAACTCAATTATTTTTAGAGAAAAAGTTCTGCGACTATACAAGTGAATCATAATATATTTAAGGCAAATTTAATTTAGATGTCAAAAATATGCTACTTATTTATTTAAATTAAGTTCACATACAAGTACTTTCGAAATAACTTTAAAAGTATTATTGCAAACATTTTGTAGATATCCACTCGAAAAACTCGCCTCTGGCCGTTGTTTGAGTAACAACAACGCTTTAAGCAAAATATTTGTTAACCATTTTATGCTGTCTGGCTATGAAATGTTTAAATTGTCATATGGCAAATGCATGCCTAGAATCTATTAAATGTACGAGGGTGTGCATATATGTAGGTACATACATATATGCGCATGTTTGCATTTAGGTCAACATCGTGTTGATGCTGTGCGGATGCTCTCACTCATGTTTATCGCATGTTGGATGACTGAAATGCGCTAAAGCTTAAATCATTTACATATGCGGAGCACGTTAGCGTTTGGACTAAGGCTTACGGATGGGCACATAATCCTAAGCGAACATACAAGCGTACATATGCCTCCAAGAGCTTGTGTATATGCACATGTTGTTTTTGTGTGTATGTATGTATCTAGCTGAGTGTATGTTAGAATACCAGGAAATGGCAAATTCTCGCATGCACTTGAATAAAAGCGCATAGACAACTTTTTTGTTTTCTTTTTTTTGTTTTTGTATCGCCTATGCTCCCACAAACATGCAGCATTTCAAGTAAACAAGTGCATATTTGGCTTTGTCGCTAGCACTTGCCACTTGCCACACACGACGCGCGCGATGTGCAAATTTTATTTTAGCAAATCTGTGCTGTACAGGTGTAAAAAAATAAATATGTACCTATACATTTAGGAGATTTTTTCCGCACTCCTTTTGTTTGTGCATAGGGTACACATTTAGAGCTGCAACTATGCAGTGGTACATACATATATATGTATGTGTGTGCATGTAGCTGCTGCATTTAGTAGTTGCTACTTTGAATGCTGCTTGCATTTTCGATGCGACAAATTCGCTTGCAGCGGCTTAACTGGCAACCGTGTTTTAGCATGCAAGGCATACTTGCCACCCTTTTTGTTGGCCACTAGTGCGCCCACGTTTACACTTCCATTCCCTTCAATACGACCTTCTAAAACCGAAATTCAGTTGAATTTTTTAAATGAAAAATTTCATTTACTTTTATAGCCAACATTCGCATTTGTGCGCATAGCAGGCGGAAACAATTTGAATTGCTATTCTGCTACATATGTATGTGTGTGTGCAGTGCAAACGACCAGTTTGGTTCGTTGGTTGTTTGGTCGGTTGGTTGGTTGGTTCGTTGGTCGGTTGATTGTGTGGTGCGGTGCCTCATGAAAAATTCATAAAAGCAAAAGTTGCATTTATAAATTCAAACAGCAGCTACACGCTAACAGCAGCCGCAATAGTGGCAATGCAACATTACCAACTTACACCCGCAACCAACTTACACCCGCAACCAACGCACTTACTGCTAACGATAGCAACACCAAAGGTTTTGCTTTGCATTGCTCGCAAGCAAATTTCGTATGCAAATTAGGAAACAAATGAATATTACGTAGAGCTACATGCGAAGCTGAATAGTAGTAAAAGTTTCAATTTTTTCGAGCGGCTATTCACATGTAAATACATACATACATGCAATCGCATATGTCTGCTCGCATAGGGGTACATACATATGTATGTATATGTAAACGTACATATGTACTTTTAGTTACATTAACACTGTTTCACTGTGTCATTGCAATCTGTGCGCTAATTGTGCTTTTTAATAAAGTGCGCACTGCATATAGCACATTTGCATAAATTTTTGAGTGCAGTCACCCCCCCGAGCAGGCGTAGATACTTAAAGTACACATTTTGTTGCATGCCAGGAACAATTTTATTAGTAGTGAGCGTTGTAAAATTTATGATTGGTCGCTCATTTGAATTTTATTTCGTATTTGGCTTAATTTTCAAATATTTCATTTAATTAGCGTTTTATTTGTATTTCGTGGTCTAATTTTAAATGTATAGGGCTAATGCAAATGCGCTTAAATATTACATTTTCTAAAAAATATATTGATATTTGAAAAATTTTAATCCCAGGAAAAATCTCAATTGGGCTACCTTCTGGGGGTTGTACCTCATTCTCCGGCCTTCTGGACTATCGTCAACTGGCATGGGCGATAAATTCGTCTCCGCGAACCAATGGCATTATACATGTGCACCTGGAAAAAGCTGTAGAGGTGTCGTGTAATTGACTGGCTCCTAAATATATGGCTCCCTAAAGACTTCAGGCCAATAAGTCGGCCTTCGTTTTTACTGAAAACCCTGAAGAGACTGATTGACCTGCACTTCATAATGGGGATTCCTTGTGACTGTTTTTCAAGAGTTCAACATGCTCGTTATAAAATAGGGGTCTCCTTCGACATCGAGTGGTCTTCAAGAAGGTTATTCTGGAGATAATAATAAGCTCACTGCACAAGCGGAGCGTTGGAACCAACCTATTGGAACTCATTTAGCGCTTACTTCGTGACAAAACTGTCCTGACGGGGTGGGGGAGCGCATGCACTCAGCGTAGAGTTAATAGGGGTACTCCGAAAGAAAGTGGTTTCTTCCTCCTCTTCGGGATTGCTGTTTTAAATGAACTTCTCAAGGAATTGGAGAAACTCGGCTGCCGGTTGATCGTATATGCGACCTTTTTCATCTCAAGGCTACCTGAGTTTGGTAAGTAGATAGGCGTCCAACTTCGTCCTAGCAGTCAACTCTGTAAGACGGAACAGGTCTTATTTAGTAGGATGTACAAGGGCACCGGTGTAGCTCTTCCCGCGATTGGGGCTGTTCATCTGTAACTCTCCGATAGGTCAAACACTGAGGTCTGATACTGGATAGGAAGCTGTAGTGTAAGCCCAACTTTGATGAAATGGCAAGAAAGCCGTCGGTTGCCTGACACTGAGAGGTGTGATTTCTCAGCCAAGTAACTCATTGGCTCTATGAAACCATAGCTAAACCTATATTTATTTACGGAGCCTTTGTCTGGTGGTTACACTTGCTAAGCAACTGGATCCAGCACAGAGAATTGCTTTGCTGGCAGAAAGCTAGATTTCTGGAGGGCCTTGATTGCGTCCTTGAACAAACAGATTACTGCATCTCCGTAATGGCTTCCAGAAGCGCCGTCCCTTCCTACATTTCCTCAAGTGAAGGAAGGGAGCGGTGAGCTTTTTCACGGACGGATAAAAACTTGGAGGCAGGGTTAATGGAGGTGTTTTTTGCCGAGAGCTATCAATAAAAAACCATGTTTAGGTTCCAGTCGCATTTGAGTACCAAGTAACAGTGGAATAGCAGGAAAGTGCGTGGCTGAAGACTTGGTAAGGCAGCTGGGGACAGCTCTGTCGTGCCGCGGTTCACTCTTGTTCGCAGTTGGACGGTTGGTTTTCATCTAAGCTCATCGAGCGCTGGGCTCAAACCAAGATACAAATGCGCAATTGCAAGATCTGCCTTGTTAATGGAGCTTCTTATGCTTGCAACGCCTCAGCTCCCGCTCTTGGAGGGGGTTCTGGTGACCCATTGTGTGACTGGAATTCAGTTTATGACTAACTCTGACGAGCTCTCAGGCATTGAGATAAGCGTATTCGTTATTAGGTGATTGCTCGCACAATTTCTCTGACTATACTGATGTTCTCCATATAGCTTTCATGGTATCACAAAGCCAATCTCTTAATTATTCAATTGCATCCCTTATCTGGGGCAACCAATAATTTAACTTAGCCTAATCTATTTTTAGATTATCAAACAATTTTCTACTACAAATGTGACGCATTTTCAGATGCTTCATCAAATATTCAATAACAGCATCCCTAAAGGTGTCTCCAATTGGTCCTCACGGGGCTCGCAACCGGCCAAATCTAACCATTAGTTATGAGAAGATGAATTCGGACGTTTTGGCACCAAATTAGTGAAATGCAAAAATGTAATAAAAGCTCAGTGCGAGCCTTAAGAAATTGTTGTTTTGGTTTCGTCTACCGGCAGAATTTGGTAACTTTTATGTATAAGAATATTCAGGCAGGTTCTGTAACTCAGTACCGAGCGAATTTTAATCCCATTAAAAATTAGTTCAAGGTGACTTTGGTTGAAATCGCACAACCTGCCGAATTGGTTCGATTCACAAACCTAAATAACTTCCCAACTGGTATGGCTTTCATCGCCGATGGACTAATAAGAACTAGAGGTAGTCAGATTCCCCTAAAAAGGGTTCCATAAAAATTACAGAAAGACTTTTCGGGCATTCGATAGAGGCTATTCATTATATTGTCATTTTGTATGATAATTGTAGGCTAATAGAACAGAAGCGATCCATGTCGCTTTTGTGAGTCAGCCAAAGATACATCATTGCACCTCCTCCTGGAGTTTGTGGCCGTGGAGAAATAAGAGCTACATACGACATCAATGACCGGAGATCTATTCTAAAAACTATAGCACCTTTATGGCTGGATGAAATTTTGTGATGAGTTGAGGGCACAGTAGACACAATTTGTGTATGTTTATCGACTCGGTTATACCTAGCACCCTTAGCATCAATACCATTGTAACGGTCTCAAGGCAGACAATTTAAAGATTTTAACTTTAATTATACGAACCTAATATGCCCAGGCGATAGTTAATTGTAACGACGAGTATTTGACCAAAGCTTGCCAATACTGAGCCATCGTATGGATTGCCGCTATTCCATTCATATGATTCGCCATGTACAAATACGAGCACCGGGTATTTGGTTTGTCCGCCACCACTGCCACCGCCACTCCCACTACTACTACTACCGCTATTACTGCTGCCACTGTTGCTCGAGCTGCTGCTGCCACCACTGGAGGAATCACGTGAAGCAACTGTAAATATAAAGAGAGAAGTGTGCGCAAAATAAGAGATTAAAAATTAATTTTTCATTTAAATTCGAGTTTAAACTTTTTGTTATCAAAATATTTGTATGCGGTGTTATGACTGTAACTAATTTAAATTTTTTTTCGCATTCAAGATAATTACACAAAGCAAATATGTAGTATGTATGTATTATAAATTTCATAAAGAAATTGTGATATATTCGTATGCGTAAATTTTACACATTCACACCGCAAAAAATACCTACGCAGAAATGCGTTTACTTTAAATAAATTCTCATTTTTAGCCACACAAACACATCGCTCTTTTTAATTACCTATTATGAAAACACAAATGCTAAAAAAAGAGTTCCACATTTTCAATAAAATTTGGAAGGTTAAAATTTGCATAAAATATATGACACTGAAATTAAAGATTTTCAAGGTTAGTTTTTAATGCGCAATTTTCCTTTTGCTTCATAAAACGATGCGCCTACCTATAATTCGATGAAATCATAATTATATAACCAATCAAAACGTGAATTTTAAATTTTTAGTTAATTTCGGTTTTTTGCATTTCAACGACGATGTTAGATAGGGCCTCTCTATACTAAGGTAACGATAGGTACATTCTAAAAAGGCAATATTTAGCTGTTGTTAATAAGAATATTTTATTAACAAAAATGTTCTAAAATTTATGGATACGGCAGTTGAGTTTAGGTGGCTGAGCTGAGCCGAGCTGATATTAATTGAGTTGATTGAAGTGAATTGAGCTGAAATGCCTTGAAAACCGTAACAGAATATAACATAATATAACATAACACAACACAATACATTACAAAACAATAAAACACAACACAACACAACAAAACACAGCACCAGGTATCACAAAACAAAGCAACACATCACAACATAACATAACATAACAAAACTTTACATAACATAATATAACATACCACAACATAAGATAACATAACATAACATAACATCAGCATGAGAATTTCTTTCTAATGATATATAATTGTTTATACCTTAGAAGCGTAGTATTGGTAGTTTGAATACATGTGTATGTATCACAATATAAACAATTTAAAATCTTCTGTTTTTGGTGTAGTTTAAGTATGTTGAGTTTTATTAAAATAAATTACACGCAGAAATTTCATACACTCAGCGAAGTGTGTGAGGGCGATCTAGTTTGTTACAAAAGTTTTAAGAAGAATTTAATAATTTACCTAATGTTCCAAATAGAAACTTTCTACAATTGCGAATTTTCAGCACATACACAAATTATTCGAAATATATCGTTGTATTAAACAAACTTTTATTAAGTAACCCAATGAAATACAAAGGTATATAGTTATGTATCTACGTAGTATACATATGTATGTGTTATTGTATTGCCGTGGCGAATAATTAGCGTCATTACCAGTTAGACATTAATCACCGAGAATTGTACATAGCATGAACAACAACAATAATAACAAAATTGAAATTAACGGACCAATTCAACAATTCGCTTAACTAACGTTGTAACGTGGATAACCACACAGCGTTAAATTGATGGTACCGTAGCTGTGCTGATTTACTGAATATATCATGGTTGAGTATATGTGTGTTTATGTGCTAGTATTAAACCCAATAAAACATTACCCCCCATTCGTTGAATACCAATGCAGTTGAGCTTAGAACAAAAGCTTCAAATGAATGCTCTTTCGTAGTTAACAACGTGTTCCTACAAATACGTAGCAGTGACACAAGCAGAAGCCTTTTGATGATGAGTAGAAGTAAAGGTCAGAGCTTAGGCAAATCCTTCGATCAATGGTTAAAGTGAATTGACAGTAAAACCATTTGCAATTGAGTGCAAATACTATATACATGCCCTCATATATAGACCTATAATGTATAATGCAATATACATACATATGCACTTACCTACATTTATACATACATTGCAAATGCGCGCATTCCTTTTTCGTCGTAGATTGGAAAAGTTAGTTAGCCTAGAGTTCAGCAATGGGCAAATATGGTTAAAGGTCGTTAATTTTTATACAAATATTACATGCGCATGAAGTTTGGGTCCACTTTTTCTTGTACGGCTTAATGTTACGCGACAGCTGAGCTAATTTCTATTGAATTCAAGCGTACAGTGAGTCAAAAAACTTTACGGGCACTGCTTGTTACTAAATAAATTAAAGACTCAATTAAATTTAAGTCGATCTTGGCTTAACATTAGAAGACAATACTAACCGTAGAACACATAACCAAAAAATTACAGGTAAATACATAACCGGGGTTGCCGTTTGTCCACTTACTAGGTTTAAATATTTCAGAGGCATAATAGTAATTGTCGTGGGTTCAAATCAATGCCGTTTATGTAAATAACTTGAAGAAATGGGCTTCAAAATACATACAACGACAATCTATCTCCCAGTGCATATAAAAGTTAACAGAACATGATGTAGGTAATTAAATGTTTTAACAAGCTAAAATTTTGAATGCCTTTTCTTTTCTAGATTGAGTGCCGCAGAAGACGAGACGTACATTAGCTCTCTTTTTGACACTATTGTGGAAGAAGGAGAAAATTTCTTTTCTGAGGACGGGCAAGAGCCCATTGTAAGAGATGTCCAAATGTATGACGCAGAAGAATTTCCGACAAAAGCATAACTAAAAGTAACCTTTGGAGACAGTGAATCGGTCAACGAAGATGAAAAAGAAGAAGCAGCACTAAGGATGATTTTCACGCTCCAGCGAACGTGATCAGTCTCCGTCCGTTCTCAGAGATTCCGTCATACGGAGGGACCAAAATTACCAACCACGATTTTATTATCGTATCGGGAACAGATGTTCGAAACCATCGCTTTGAGCCGCATTGTGGCGAGGCGCACGTCGACTAGGGTGAACGACCATTTGGGCGACCGGGTTCTCACTCGTATTCTTTTATACGTTTGCGTACAAATCCCAGCGCACAACGCATTTCTGGGGGTGTGACTCATCAGATTGGCTCGCTTTCGAATGGTTGTTCAGTTGCTACTTCGTATAAACACTAGGGGCTGATTTTTCTAACTCAACTTAGTTTAGCCACTTTTTGGACTTAAGTCAAAAGTTAGCACACGTTTTGCACAGCTTATTCATGACTAAGTCAAGAAAATTGGCTTAACTAAGTTAAGTTGAGTTGGAGAAAGCAGCCCTAGAAGTCTTGAGCTGTAAGAACCAGACGCAGAATTACAATTTGTTGCCACTGCGAGGCGCAGGGGGATAAAAAGGATCGAGAAAGCTGCTACCTGCACATTTCTGCTTATTCTATGCACAAGAAACATAAAGGAAGCAAAAAACCAATGTGCCTGGAACAAAGGTGCAAAGTGACCGGAATAACTTGCATGGTTTAATAATATATTTCCATTTAAATTTCATATCCAAAATGTATTCATGTATTTTTAAAGATTTTTAATAAAAATTTAACGACGAAATCTATGGACATCTTGTTATTCGCTAAGTTTCTCATATAAAAACCAGTGGACACAGGGGTACCCCGGTTATTTATGTGTTTGCGTAGGTGTCGACTTTAGAAGCTTGTAGGTGCGGTACCACTGAACCGAGTTTTATAAATGACCACTCAAACGATGCAAAAATACCTAGATTTTCTAGATCCGTATGCTGTTTTTAAAAATATTGATGCATTTGTTTTCATTCAATATATGGTAGACACATTTCTTCACACAAGTACGTACTTACATACCGTAAGTGTGCTCAATATGTGTACGTGCATGTATATTTCCAGTATAAAATTCATATTAAGACCATATGTAATATCTGTCGCTTTATATTTATCTATTCAATTATTGCTATCAATGCACTTGCTGCAGTCAAACAAGTGTTACATAATACGATTCGATTTGATTGGATTTTTCTTGTGCAGCATGCCACATTTTGTGTGCGCACCAAATGCATTTTATATTATTTCTTTCAAAGTCTATGTTTTTATAGCAAGTTTTCCTTCGCTTGTCGGCTATATAATTATTATTTTTTCTTTAGCTTTAATTTTTTCATAACATGCGTCTGTTGCTTTCGAGGTATGCTTCAAGTTGAAAAAAAAGAAATAAGGTAAAACTCGCCGCAAGAAGATCCAATCTTTTGGATAAGTAAATTAAAATACTTTGTTTACTTATATTCGAATAAACATATATAAATGTAGATATATTTTCAACAAATATTTCTATTACTGAAATGAGCTAATATGGCGATTTAGAAATTAAACCCAGCCAACCAGCAGGGTGCACAATTAGGACTCCCTGGGCGGTGCGCTTATGCTCCTAGGTAGGCTCCAAAAAGAGTCCCAAAGGAGCATATCCGCCAGAAAAATGTGCCTTTTCAATATATATGAAAACAGTGTGCCTTTAGGACTCCTTAAATGAGTGATTTCGGAGTCCCAGAAAGCTTCTGCTGATAATCCGCAAAGACTCCGTGCGGACTCCCCTATTCGCCTATAATTTTGTGAAAAGGACGCCTTAAATCTTATGAAGATAACTTTGATGTAGTGTTTTGTGAGTGCTCCGATAATAGACCAGATTCGTGGTTTTACAAAATGCTCCTCATTTATTTTTTATAATTAAAATTTTTACATAATTTCTTTTTATTGAAAAAAAAAATATTATTTAATATGATATTCTGTAAAAAAAGGAAAACCTATGAAATAAATAAAAGAAATATATATTTTTTTAAGACGTTCCCATTGATTTTTTTCCCAGAATCAGATAAGTTTCCGATAAAGGCGCTTGAAAAGTTCTAAGGTCAGCCAAAAGTAACTTTTTATGCGATATATCTTACCTCCAAATGCATTCGCATTTGCCATGACCTCAACAGTTTTTTTGCGGTGTTCCTTTCCAGGAACATATTCGCAAGCGACGACAGTTTCTTCATCGAATTTTTATCTTGCTGCAGTACTGATTCAGACTTTATGTGATCAAATCTGGGTTGGCAAAATATTAATCTGATTAACGATTAAAAATTAAGGA